GGTGGAGTTTGGTTTATTAGACTTTGGTTCTCGGTATCTGTTATGAATATTCGAATCTTTAACTCAACTAGTATCACAAATACCTACAAACGGAAAACCAAATGAAACAAATAGGCAGGAAGCAGTTATTTTTCATTTTTCTCTGTACAAAAGCAAAGAAATTTCCCATGATTCCCCTGGCGGAAACAGAGGAAAATTGTCTGAAAACGGTAGTAAGTTGGAAGAAGATACCGTGGATATGGGGCTGGGGATGTAAGATCAATATCAAAACATACTGTGGGACCACTTATTATCATTCACCTCATAGAAATGTTTAAGATGAGTACATAAACTCCCAGACAACTGAAAAGAAAACCTAACAAAATTAACCAAAAGCCTTCATATCATATTTTCACAGGAAATACTAAAGAAATTGTTTTTTTCTGTTTTATAATGATTCATTGATTATGTATTTTTTTTTAACGGATTATAATTTGGGAAAAGGGAATTTAAACCTAACTCTAAAACTAAAGGTGTATTTTATGATGAAATATATAATTATTAGTCTACAAAATTTAGGTGATTGATTATGTATTTAATATCAAATAAGTGAATACATACTTATTTAAAATTATAGTATATAAAAAGTACTAATAAAATTTGTTATCGCGCTAGTTGTGAAGATTTGTTGATAAAAATTTAAATTATAAATGAATCATTTTCGGTTTCCTTCCATCCTAGAGGGGAGACATTGGAAGGGACTTGGGTTGAGATTATCTTTAATTACTGACCGAAGGCTAAGAGTTATTTAAGATGTAAGGTACATGCATGGAAGACTTACATTAAATATTATCACATGATTAATGGGGAAAAAGTTAACCATAAATCATAATCTTCAATGTTAATTGACTACAAATGATTTTCTTAAAAATAATTATGGCAGATAAAAATCTTGGGAAATCTAATTAATTCAAATTAAGTACAAACGAATTTTTTTTTTTTTATGTTGGAGAAAAAGGAAATTGCCCTACATATAACACTGTTGTTTCTTCCTAGGTACATTATTCTAAAGGAAAAAAAAAGTTAAAATCAAGATATCATGATATTTAAAATGTTAAGATTATTTGTATAATTGTTTAAATATTTTTAATAAAATTTCTCTATATATTAATTTATTAAAGATATTTAAATTTTTTATTGTAATTCCTCACATTTTAATTATCAAACATGGAAATGTTTTGCAACCCATACTCAAAAATTGAAAAACAAAAATGGTCTGTATCCACCAACCCTCTGGAACAAAAGCAGACCAATATAAATAACATCAACAACCCCATTAATGGCAAGATAAATGTTCTGCCATGGGGAAATATCTGAAAGATATTCTCTTCCAATCATATTCCTGTGCTGCAAATGAAATATGTCATTCATACAACTCTCTAGCATTACCTCGTGCATTAAAATTCAAAAGATGTCAAGTAAGAGTTTTCAAATTCAAATTTTAAAACTGATTATGGAGAAATTTACAAGAGAAAAAGGATCTCATAACCTATCATACAATCCATCATATAATTAACCAAAAAATTGATTCAAAATACTTTCTTACAAAGGTGAAATAAAAGGAAATGAGGAAAAAAAAATACGTTTAGGCATGAAAATTGAAATTGACATCTCATCTTCTCCTCAGCTAAGAAACTTATCTGTTATGCAGAGGATTTGGACCTGTGAAGACGCTTCTCTTTCCAGCACCAAAAATTTCATCATCTTTAGCTGCATTGTTTTTCACTTTGAACCTACCTTGGGATTTAAAAGCACTTATCCCAGAAGCCGATCCACCTTTGAACCTGCTTGATTTTTCATACAAAACTGCTCCATAACATGGAATGCTCTCCAGCTGTAACAGCATCATCAGCAGAAGCAGAGAAAAGCTAGCCAGCACTCTGCTTCTCAGGCTCTCCTGTTTCTTGCTCTGATACCAAGTGCTTCTCATGGCAAATGGAAATGGAAAAAACAGAGAAAACTGAAAATGGGTTATGCTGAGGTGATTGAGAGTTGAAGTTTTATAGAGAAAAGTTTTGATTTTTGTTTGGTTTGGAAGCTTTGGGATTTGAAGAAAGGAGGCACAGCAGGGTCAATTTGGTTGGAGTGAGAGTCAAAATGCATAGGGTTTGATGCTGATTTTTTTAAACAAGTCTGGTGAGGGAGGAGGATGGGTGAGTCTTTCTTGGGAACTTATTTGGGTGCTGATTTTCAGAATTCATAGCTTCTTATTTTATGCTTGGAAAAGAGAGAAGGAGAAGGGGAGTTTGATTTCATGATGGGATGAAAACTGAAAACTCCTCAAATGTCCCTTTGTTGGGAGTCTTTATTTATTTTTATGTAAGTTGTTGAGAGTCTTTATCAATCTTGGGTCATGTGAGATTTTAATCATTTTCTTGGACCTTTCTTTGATTTGTTACGGAAATCCTTTTTCCTGCTACTGTTTGAGAATGTCCTTATGTTCTTTGCTACATAAAAAAGTTACCCAAAGGATGATTACTTTTCGGTCCTTTCCCATGGTGATGGCCCATAAGGGCAGTCCATGAAATTTAAGTCATTCATAAAGTGTCTGGATTTGCATTAATACCGTGAAAGCAAGCTTTCTTTCTTTCTTCTTTTGCTTCTGTCCACTAAAGGTATATATAATGATGAGTTGATGATATTTATTAGGATATTATAATCAAATTGAGGGGTGTAAGTAATAGGTAATTAAGATCGAGCTCGAGTCATACTAACCAAACTTAGAGAGTTGAGTTTAAATTTTTCTCATTTATGAAATGATCTCAAGTGATCTCAAGCAATTACATTTTCTAAACTTGAGATCAAGATTGAGCTTGACTCAAGCTAGTGGCTCTACTCTCTAACCGAGTAGACCTTTAGGCATGTTTAGGGTGCAGTTCTTGATAGAAAATAGTGCTTAGATTTCACAATAAATTTTCGATTCATGAAAACAATCTAAAAAAAAAACTTTATATAGCGATTAATTTTCACACACCACAATAAATTCATTTTATGGAATTAGAAAATTTATTAAAAATGACTTTTTTTATTAACTTTTCTAAATAACCTTGTATTGCGATTTTTTCTTTTTTTGGGGTGGGCGGGGGGGTGTTGAAGCATTCTCCAAGACGTGACTTGTGAGAGAGATTCTGTGATGAGCTGACGAGCCTATGGGCCAAATTCCAAATGCATTGGGCTTAAAAGAGACAAATATTGTAAAATTGCTTCCACTCCCACAAGCCTAAGCCCATCGTCCAAACCCACACTTAAACCCTTTCGTTTCAAATTGCCGACGTTAAAAGTCAGAACCATAACTTATTAAACCATTTCTCTTAGAGCATGTTTGGAGTATAAGTTAGGATTGGATGAGGTAGGATTTAAGTGTAAGATTGGATTGGATTGGATTGGTCTAAATTGGATTATTTAAAAATCCAATCATATGTTTGGAGTTTATGAGATTAAATATAAGACTGACTTAAAATATTTATTTATTGACAAAAATATCCCTATTATTTCAATTCAGTTTATTTATTAAAAATGAAAAAACTTACTCAAATCCTTCAAAAATTTCTTGCAATTTTCTATTTCATTTTCTCCACTCCCAAACAGTTGCTGTCTTCTTAAATGTATTTTTCTTCCATTTTCTTAACCTCTCCAGTATTTTCCAAGTTCTTCTTTCCCTCTGCAAGCTAGAGTTTTCTTCCCAACTCTAATATTTTGTTTGAGAAGCAAATTGGCAAATCTCAACATGGATAAAAGAGAAAATAAAGATATATATTTTTTCAGATTCACTGGACTGTATATAAGGAGACAACGATATCGGTGTCGATCCATTGAAATTGAAATTTGAGATCCAAGTGCCTTTTGAGTGAGAAAAAGGAGTGGAATAAATTTGTGTTTCTTCATTTTAAGAGAAAAAGAAAAGGAAAGGGATGATCGGAGACTAAAGAAATCAGTGATGGAAGAAGAAGAAGAAAGGGAAAGTAGGAGATTTACAAAGAAATCCATGGCGGAAGATAAAATAGATGATTGAAACTTACAAGAACGGAGGAGATCGACAGCAAATGATGAAAAATGCATTTTCAAAATTGATGAAACAAAGCAACGTCGGAATCCGCGCCGATGTGCAGGCATCTTGTATAGGAGAGGAGAAAATCAATGGGGAAAAAAAAAGGAGTAAAATATGAAAATTCAATCTTATCCCACCTAATCCCATGGGGGAGGTGGGATACATTTTATCAAAAGAGGTCAAGATTGGATAAAATGTAGGATGTTGTGTTTCCCATCCCTTCATTCCACCAAACATGGGAAATAGCAAGACTGGACAAAAACTTTGTCCTATCCTGCATTGTATCCGGCGCTTCAAACGTACAGTTAGCGAAGGAAAAGAAAAAGAGCGAATGGAAAAATACTTGATCCCATTTCCGAACCAATATGTCAAAAATGGTGCAATGGTACTCAACCGAACAGAGTTCAAATCCTAGTTTTGTGACTAAAAAACACAAGTAATTCTAACACCGGAAGCCTTTCGATTCACTCCCCATTCTCTCTTAAATAAAGCTCGCCCTGGGCAGATCGGCCGGGTAAATTACATAATTGATGGTAAAATAAATAATATTTTATAACCAATGCAAATCTTAACATCAATAATCATGCTTTGAAAATAGATGCACACAGCTATCTCTTCTTGAATAAATAGGGTAGGGAAGTGATGGGATGATAACTAATTCAAGCTGCCAGCAGTGGTTTCCCAGTCCAGCCAGAAATGCCTTAAAGAGTGTCAGGGACCTCTCTGGTTGTGTAGAAGGAGCCATATGAGACGCTCCATTGATGGTTGCATAGGACAATTTATCCCCATAAACCTGCGTCCACCCACCAACCTGCAGTATCAAAAACTTCAAACTTCGAGATATTCTATTCAAGAATTGGGACATGGTGAAAGAAGGAATTTAAAAAATATATACATAAGTATATGTCATGATTATTGTATTAGGTACGATTATATTAACAAAAAATATTAGCATGCAAGTGTACTTTTTTTTTTAATAAGCGTAATAGTTAAAAAGTTAGTATGAATTAGTTGTTAGTAACTGGAGATTCGATTTTCAGACCGAATGAATATTTCACCCTCTCAAATGAGACGCGCAGCCATCAAGTCACTTTTTGGTGGAGTTTATGAAGATGGTGGACTCGAAACTCCAATCATCTCATCTAAGTATTTAAAGCTTAGAGTCGCGAGCAGGTGTACTTGTTTGTTCCTGAACCAGGCCCTGTCAGGTACGGTTGTTTTGACTCTCAACACTTTGGCTAGCTTATAGACCAAAGTTCCAGTTCCGATAAATGGGACAACAGTATCTTGATCTCCACTGCAAATTCATTCATGCATACATAATTATTTAATTTTTTTTATTAATTTCTTAATATCTTAAAAATTATATTAAATTTTAATTAATTCAAAGTAAATTGTGTTGGATTGATAAGAGTGGAAGTTTTCATATATTTATTTTTCTATTTATATTATTTGAATTCAAAATTTTACTAAAAAAATTGAACACATTTTACTTGACCTACAGAGAGCACTAGTATAATTATTCTGTGCTTAAACAGTAAAGATTGTTGTGTCAAAATTGATTAATTTGCAAATCAAGAATACATTTTCAACTTATAAATTAATAAGTGAAAATAAAATAAAATATACCTGTCACTTCATCATTCAAATTGGCGAAAAATGAATTGTTAGTCGAATGTGAAAAGCCAACACTTGCTGGTGACTCCAAGTACAACATATTAGCTTCTGCAAACATGGAAAATGCTTATTATTTAGTCATCCATCAGAAACAAAGTCATTCAACTTTCATATTTTATATAAACTATACAACGGGAGATAGATAGTTAGCTCTTCGACACATCTTCGATGTACCTTTGTTCCAACTGAACTCGTTCCTGATTAAAGTCTCTCTCCATTTGTCTTGAAGGGGCCATGCTCCACAAAAGCTCCAGTTCCTAAAGATGAACATCCACGCCCTGGAACACCGAAACTAGATCATTAATCTTGAATCCGAAATTTTGAGATGAGAAAGTTCTAAATATGCAGAATA